CGGACAAGGGCGAAAAATCTCGGAGGTCTCGTGTGCAAGTTGCTCACGTTAAAGATCCCTAGGTGGTCTAAAATCGATAAGAGTAGGCTACGGCCGTCACCCTGGCGATATTAAAAATTTCCAACCAACTGAAAATGTTTGGTGTGTCACGCGCGCTAATATGACCTTACGCAGTTGCGAAAGCCGTAAAACACTTACCAAAGAAAAAACAATTGACAGCATTTCTTGCATAACACAAATTCCGACTCAACAGCTAGCTCTATGTGCTTTACAGTCCATATTATTATCATAGCCGACTTGATAGCTTTCTGAAACAATCTCAGCTTCCAGGGAAGCATTCATTGCAAGCTACCATTTTACAAGCACTAAAACACTGACATACTGAAACGATCTTTTGCTGTCTATGACCGGGTACCCATGTGTAACCTAAATATAAAGCACTGCCGGGGTATGTCATACCCTCATTGTGTAGTCTAGGGTTATCAAAGAGATAGAGTCCACGGCAGTGGTGTCACGCGTGCCAGATATGGGTGGGCGTCCGCAATACTAGAGAGAAAAAAAAAGGCCAGCCTTTACCAGTAAAAATAGTGTAGTGATACTATAAATAGAATACGACGTGCTGCATAAATTCTGTGTCCCCATTTTTTTGTAGCATGACGCACTAGTTTGCATTAGGCCTACCATTAAAAGTCCCAACGATCTCGCCAAATTGCAAGCTACAGTAGTGTGCTCATCGGGGGACACTCAATGAGAAGTACAGCGGGGTTTGAGAGAGGGATTACTTTGACTCAGAGTTGATTCCTGATGGTCAGTTTAGCCCACTCTCAAAGTGTTCTATTCAGCGTCTCACAATCACATTTGTATCTGTGATGTGCTTGGAACTATCTTGGTTAAGAAGGGGTGAAGTAGCAAAACGAGAATGGCCATAGATGCAGCTAAGGCTCTCATAGAATTTATGAGTGTTGTTTGTATCTGCCCACTGCTGAGTCTCCAATCCTATCTTCAAACCATTTTTCACGTGTCTTAGTTTCATCTGAATATGAACTTTAGCAAAATTTCAGTGTGTCTCGTTTTGACTAGGATTTCGGATTACTGGTTGAAGACTGTATCAGCTTTTTCATTTTTTTAGTGAGTTTCTGAATCTTTTTATAGCCTTAATCAAACTAGCGTGGGTGATAACAACTAGGAAAGCCAATTGTTTCAGAGGCTATTGTATAAAATCTATGAATAAAACCCAGTTGCTTTCAATGCCATAGGGGCTAAAGGATATACTTTCTCATTTAACCTTTTAGGTCTTTGTCGAGACCTGTTTGTAAAGCAGCATTTTTAAAATAGTTTATTTGTGTCAAGTCTTTTGGGATGAAGTTTTCCTTGAGTACGCCTTTATCGATGCCATCTCAATTTCACTTTTGCTCACAGTTTGTCTATGGTCAGATCCACATTATGCACCGCACAAGGCGTGAGTGACTCTGATGGCAATCATGTCTTTACGTTTCACGATAATATAATCAATGAGGTGCATATTTTGCTTTGAATGGGGTTACCATGATGATCCGAATCTTACTGGCAGGTGAAAGTTTGTATAGGTGATGAAAGGTCATGTTCTGCACATTTCTATAACAGATGAAGACCATTGCTGTTGAATGAGCCCACACCATGTTTGCCGATGACACCTGCCCAGGCGCTAGAGTTCAAGTCTACTCTGGCGTTGAAATCACTCACAAAAACAGGTTATTAGAAGCTGGGACAGAGGCTTCGAGGTCACAATAGAATTTATATTTGGCATCATCTGGATTGGTCATCGCAGGGGAATAATATTATGCCCTCACAAATGCTGCATACTGGGTTTTGCCAAGAGGACGTCTCATTAATACCTTTTGAAATGGATTCCAGTTAGGTAGCTATGTGATTTTTCAATGCAAAGCAATTTATTTTACTTTCTGAGAGATCTGCTCTCTTTCACAAGAAATATAATCACCACTCAGTTTTTTCAACTAACCTTCAATAGCTGGTCTAGTTTCACTGAGGGCAACGACATCATGTTATAGCGCTGAGCTCTATTGAAATGACTGCTGTCCTTCTTTCAAGATGTGAGACATTATTCTGAAGTGTACCAATATTCTAGCACACAGTTTTCTTTTTTTAAATTCGACCTCATTGTGGCATCCCTACTGATCGCGGTGAACAAGTGCGTGATAGAGGAAGTAAGCTTTCTTTTGGGCACCTTTCCCAGCCCTTTCCCTTTGTGGG